TCTTTTCCACCCCTTTCCCTGTTGAGATCATTTCTCCCCTTTCCCCCCTAAGGGCTTTGTCCCCAGATCTTCTCCCGGTCCTCCCTAAGATCTTCCCCCCCTCCCCCTTTCCCCCCTAAGGCCTTTCCCCCCCCTGAGAGCTTCTCCCTTTTCCTTCCTAAATCTTTTCCCCCCTTTCCCTGTTAGGCTTTCCCCCCTAAGTCCTTTTCTCCCAGATCTTCTCCCTGAAAGGGAGACGATCTGGGAGATCTTAGGGAGGCAAAGGGAGAAGATCTCAGGGGGGAACAGGCCTTAGGGGGGAAAGGGGGGAAAGGATCTCAACAGGGAGAGGGGTGAAAACATCTTAGGGAGGAAAAGGGAAAAAAAACAGAGGGAGAAAAGGCCTTCGGGCGGAAAGGGGGAATGGATCTCAACAAAGAAGGGGGGGCAAAAATCTCAGAGGGGAAGGGGGCAAGGGGACAATTCCAAAGGGACGCAAATAAGAAAGCAGGCCTGTAATGTCGGCGGCCTGAGCCGGAGGCACTAAAATAAATACAATGCAAAAATGCAAATACAATACAATCCATGAAACAAATACACATGCTCAGTCTTTTGAGATCTGATCGATCAGATCTGATGCTTTCACTCAGCGCCCGGCTCCGAAAGGCCTTGGTCGACAAACAGAGCAAGGCTCCCATGGCGTTTTTGCTAGTGACTGCCCCGGAGGCCAACACCTCCCCTCCGGAAAGGAGGCCTACAAAGAAGGTCGTCTTGGCGCCCAGGGAGTGGTAGTTTTAAGACATGATAAGTCAATAAGACCTGATTCGGAATCGCCACGAGGCAATCTCAACAATGCATCTGCAGATGCTCTTCTAGGTTGGCAACATCCTAGTGGATGTGCGAGCCAACAGAAACAATCCATTGACCTGCACAGAGACCAAAACACATTCAAGTACTTGCAGACACGTGCAGACAATTATCAGACAAAGACAGAAGACGCGGACACACGCACACACACACACACACAAACACACACTCACATACACATAGATACACACACACACAGAAACCAAAAGAAGGAGATGCTGGGGAAAAAAAACATAAGCACAGACACACGAAGATCACACAATTCAATATGACATTTAGTTTCTTGGTGAACCCGTCAGCTTGCTACGCAGAGACTTTATCTAGCTTTCGTGTCAAGATGTATCAAGGTTTGCGGCCAGAACTGGGTTGATCTTCCTTGCTGAGCAAAGGTCTAAGCTTTGAACCTGTGTGTGTCCAAAAGGTCTGTTGGGGGATTTTGGGGTGACACCAAAGACTAGAGCAGAAGTCCAACATGGCCCGTGACAAGTCTAGGCATCGGGGATTGGGGGAAGGTCTACCCGTGGGCACGAAAAAGATTGTAAAATCCAGTAACTCCATTTCCCACAGAAGGGCAATCCACTTGGCAAATTACAGCAAACACCCGTTCCCATGATGCCAGCTGCGATGTTGCATATTCATGCTGAGTGGGGAAGCACTGGCATGGTGGCTTGGTTGCTGTTTTTTGCAAAAGTTAAGCTTCTTTTCAAGTCCAATGGGACATCCCCTGTTTCCTAAAAGTTAAAGCGCCGAAGAACAGCTACCAAATCGCCATACCAGGTGAAAAAACAGGGCCTGGACTGGCGCCACTGCCAATGGCAAGCCTGGGGCGCTGGCCCGAATAGGCCGCCTGGGCGACAGGCTTACACCAGTTCATCCTCTCACCTCGCGACCTCCGCCCCAACAAATGAAGCAACAGAAAATGAGAGTAGCTGAATCCTGGGCAAAGCTCCTGAAATTCACAACACTACTTGTTGCTTCCTCCTGGAGCATGTATGACGCTCGCCGATGACATCCCTCTCCACAAAGCAAGTTGTCGATCTGCAGTATGCTTGCCCCTCGTTCAAAAACATGTTTCAACACATTTGCTTAGCGTCATGTTGGTTCTGCTTCAAAGGGTCTTTTTTTTGGGTTGACCATTTCTCAGTGTGCTCAGACAAAAAGAGAAAAGAGTGGAATTCGCTGAAGAGAACGGACATGATTTGTGAAAACAAAATCTGGCCTCTGCACATGTGTCATCAAACAATTCCAAGAGATCCGGCAACAATCCCCCCAAACTCCGACGGAGCTGTTGTTTGGCCTTTGGCCTCAAGGTTTAAGCTCAAGCCATTTGGCGGGTCGAATGGTGTTGCAACTTGAGGTTCAGTTTCCTGCTCTTTCTGCGCATCTGCCATGTTGGCCTAGGAACGACGCAAGCCAAGAGATCGGGCTGGACGCCCCGGTACGATGCCAGCCTACTTCAAGTGCAAAACACGCCTGCTATTTCCCATCAATACCACCTCGCCGTCAACAGCTAGCATCCCTTCCGCACGTGGTGCTCGAGAAACCTTTCAGGCGGCCGACTGCTGCTTTCGCTAAGCAGCGGGTCACCACCTAAGTACGACTAGAGTGGCACCCCCCAAGTGGTAGGTCAAAGGTAAACATTCCCTTCCCAGTTTCTAGCTTTGTTTGAACTTTCGTTACGTTGCTTCTTTCAAATACATTTGCGACACTCCCCAGAAGTGGTCAACATTGAAGACCCAACTCAAAATCATCCAAACATAGGTTCCCTGAGCCCCCACAGTGGAAGCCTGCCTCCGCTTCTGCACGAAGGTTCGCCGCGGCGTTGGCGCCCCCGCCCGCCTCGCGCGAGAAAACCGGGTGGGGAGCATTGAAGATCTCACCGCGTTGCAAAATGGCCCAAAATGGACACCCATCAAACAGACTCCTAACAAAGGGGAAAAAAGGTACCACTCTTTTCATTGCTAGCATTAGTCGAGTCACCTGGCTCATTAACAGGGGGTATCTCCATGGCGTCCCCCTGTAGCAGGAATCCGGATTACTCTTGTGAGTGACACCTTGTCCACCCCTCTACTTAGATCCGGGGGTCCCATTGCTAAAGTCAGCCCCCAACTACGGGCAGGGTGGACTGCAGCGAATTAAAGTCAAATCAATGGGTCATGGAGGGCTAGTCTTCCCGATGTCCTTTCTGAACAAGCCAACCACATTTTGAGCACTGAAAATTCAGGCAAGCTTGCCTGATACTCCCACGACACAAACGCCAAAGATGGCTGTCAACACCATCTTTTAACCTTTGGGCAGGCGTCCCTGTCTCGGGGTCCAAATGGTTTTGACACGTGCCCAAATTTTCACTAAGACAAATCTGCGTGCAGAGTCAAAATCCAAGGCTGCACTGCCAGTTGGACCTGTGGACCATGTGGACTTTGCTTTGCCACTGAACATGTGGATCTGTGCGGCAAACGAAGGGCATGCCCACTAAGTTTGATGTATTGACTTCCTTTCGGAACCCATGCGAAGACGCTCTGGAAGGAATTGAGCAGGTAGGTGCTATTTGGTTCCCTTTAATCCCACCTGAAAAGGTTGCCACCCCAAAATCTAGGGTACCTTCCCCATTCTTTCCAGGGATCCTTCTTGTCAGGAAACCATCAAAAACCCAGGGGAAACAGCCGGGTGTTGAAAAGAAGGTTGAAAAGAATGGGGAATCAATCCCTAGAAAAAAGAAAGCACACAAAACCACACACCTCCGAAACAATTTGACGCACGCGAAACCACGCGAAATCTGTCCATCGGCCCGTTGCCCGTCTCGGCCCATTTGCCCGGCCGGCTCCGGGGTCGACTTCGGCTCCAGCTGCCCCGGAATGTACTGCCAGAGTCGAGATGGACTAACCCGATGTGGATTGGAGCCAAAAAAAGTACCCAACCCACCCAAGTTTGGTCCAAACCCAAAAAGTGACCAACGTCCAGGAATGAGCAGAACCAAAAGTTGGCGCCAAAACCCCTGAACATGGAAATCAAGTCAACCGTTCTTGGCCTCACTATTCCCAAGTTGATCAGTCAGTTTTTGGCCTCCAGCAAAAGCTGGCAAACGTTCAGGAGAAACAGCCGAGCCTTTCTTTGAGTCAGAAGGCGCCCCGCGGCTTCAAGATTCTTTCCGCGGTCGTGACCAAAACGGAACGGGCCTTTCAAACAGACATGTGTAGTAGGTATCACCTGTTTTGTCTCTGGGTCTCTGTTTGTGTCCATCTGTTTGCCTTTCTCTATGTGTGCGTGTGTCTGTGCACTTTCTCAGGAGCTTTGGAGCTTCGTGCAGCTTGTTGGAACCCTTCGTGAGCAAACAAATGCACAAATTCGTTGGGGTACAGGCACTGTTGCACACAATGGCACTTAAAGCCAGGGTCATTGGGGGACAATATTCGCAGCATGATAACAATCATTGCCTCTTCACTTTGAATTCGGCAACTTGTCTTGGGCAAGTGGTTATGGTCAATTTCAATGGCATAGGGCGTGTTTGTCATTGAGGCAAACCCCACCCGGTCAGTCATTGGCTACAGAGAGACAAGAGGCACAAAGGCACAGAAACGCACGCGCAGGCAAACACCAAGGACTTTCTGAGCCACAGAGATACACGCGCACACTGGAGTCCTGGAGATCTGCAACGAGCACTGAAATGTTTTCTGTGGGACGGATGGTTGAGCCAGCCAAAGAGCACATCATTGCACATCTGCACAGATCAGTCCAAACTGACTGTACCTTAAACTCGTCACACATCCTGGAAACACCTGCTTGGCCTCTGCCTCCGAAGTGTACATGCAAACCACCCTTGGAAACTGACCATGCGAACAAATTTGAGGCCCCTTTCGAAATGGTTGCTCGCTTACATGCCCGAGAGTCCCTTTGATACAGAAACGGGCTGCAAGATTTGTCGCGCTCTTTGCACTTGTGGAAAACACGTGGGGCACATGAGGCCATTGACCTCCACTTCTGGTCTGTGACACCAGGTCCAGAGTCCAGACTCAGCGACAAAAGCCCGAAGTCTCGAATTGTCCGCACTAGTTGGCAGCCTTCGATCAAAATCGAGTTAAACAGACTTGTGGGTTTCGCATGCGGGCGTGTTGAATTGGCGTCCTCTTCTTCTGAGAAGGACGACCTAAGCAAAATTACGGCAGCAGCGCCTTCTGCCCGGCATCTTTACAGAGCGCTGGCTGTGGGGCATCGTGAAGGTGGGTGTCGCAGCATGTGTTGATGTGCGCGGTGTCCTTCTGGCAGTTCTGACACTCGCTGCCTTGGAAAAACCGCGAGAACAACGCCAAAATGTTTGGGCTATAAGGGCCTATAAAGTTAGAATCGGGCTCGGGAGTCACATTAAAACCATGTACTTAGACACGATTACAGGGGTAAACTACTATAGTAATTATCTTAGCCAGCTTCCCCAGACAAGCCAACTTCTGGCATCTACCACGCCGGTGGAGCGGTCAATTTTACGCATCTACACCGCCTTGCTGGAGGTGAATGGACATGCTCCAACACAAACTCACACATCTAAACTGACAAGACACGAGTGCCTTGGTGCCTTGATGCCAAAACAGCTATTTTAGCGATCTGACTTCGTGGTCGGAAATGGGGAGCCCACTAAACGTCCCATTCGCCCAGTGATGGTTTGGCCACCCAAAGCGGGACACATTGGGTCTCCGAATGAGGAGTTTGGGCAATGGGCGGCTTCCCTCTTTCAAACCGCCCCAAGACTCAGAAAAGACGTTCCTTCTGAGGGTCCATGTAGGTCATGTCTACTCATACGGCCGAACTGCTGTCCCTTGTTGAGGTGCCCCCTTTGCAGCAATCACTGAAGTGGACACAGGCATGCCGAATTTTGCTCCCTTGCTGGTTGCTCAGGGGGAAATGGGGTCCTATATGCTATAGGTATTATACGTATATATATATATATATATGTATGTGTATATGTTCCAGGCCGTGAACCCAACCGCCCCTTCCCCTGTGAGGGTGGGGTGGGGTGGTTGGGTGGCTGCGGTGTGGTTTGGAGTTGGTTTAGGGTTGGCGGGTTGGTGGGTTTAGGGTTCGGGTTCATTTCGGGTTGGGGTTAAGGTAGGGGTTGTAGGGTGGGTTGTTTGGGGAGGATGTGCAAGATGCTGGGGTGCAGAAAGGGGTGCGAGTCTATGCGGGGGAGGGGGGGGGGGACCTGTTTTTTTTTTTTTGGGGGGGGGGTTGGCGGCTTGGGGACTGGAACGTATATATATATATATAATGTATATTGTAATATCACATCGACACACACCAACATTGTGGCGCCACATTTTGAGACGCTGAGTGGCCATGGGTAAGCAAGGGCATTTGTTGTTTTGGGTGGCTCACTTTCTGGGGGAAGCCTTCCCCCGCCCCACCCCCAAACAAAAAAAAAGTGATAGGTTAAAAACAAGACCCACCCCCATTTGCTGACTTTGATAACCCAAAAAACCGCCAACATGATGACTGTTGCACGGAGTCGTTGGGACTCCTTCCTCCGATTCTTTGCCGAAATGCAGGAGGCGCAAATGTTCCGCACACAGGCGTTCACCTCGAGCTCCCAGCGGCAGGTTGACGCAGCCTCGCCTTGCCTCCGGTTCCAGGAAAGAGACGTGCCATATGTTTTTGGGGGGCCCTTGAGCTGTCTCCTTCAGGGATCCCTATATTTCCGCTTTGGGTTGTTTTAAACATCTTTAGGGCCTTTTGAAGTCAGTTTTCTTTGCGAGGGGTGCTGTTTGAAGGGGGAAACAAAAGGTTGTCAAGGTTTGAAGGGGAGAATGCCTAAAGAAGGGTTCCAAAAGGGATCCTAAACATTTATAGCGTTAGATGCACTCGGGACTTGGGACTGGTCCCGTCACGAACATAGACATCAGCGGATGAGTTTACATAGATGATCCCCACTCCCTTAAGGGGAAGTCTATAAATGTAGTTTACATTTTCTGGGAGTCCCCCCATGTGGGGTAAAGGGGGTGGGGATCTTAAATGCACACCGTACCAGCAGCAACTCACTAGTTGTCAACCTGTACAGGCCATTGTCACTAAAAAATGTGTTTCAAACAAAAAGTGGCCGAGCTGTAACAAAATGCTCGAGCATGCAACTTCTGCTTGAAACACAAACTGTGATTTGTCACTTGAAGCCCAGCCTTTGAAGTTTAACAGCAAACCCATTGATGCAAAAGTTATGCGGTGCAGAACAGCAAATCAGGCGCATGTCCAGGCGGCAAGTTGCTACACTTTTCCAGGTTGCGCCCGGCTAAGGCTGCGCCCAGGTTGCGCCGAGCTTTGCCCGATTTGTGTGCAGCTCATACTTTGATATTGCACTACGACATGACAAGTGCCCACTGACCGTATGATAGCCCACGACCTAGCCGTTTGTGGCACAGTGCAGCCAGTTTCATCATCGAGTTGCAGCAGGTGCATACCAGAAAGCGCTCGACTATAAACAAGCGCCCGTTCTGCCAAGAAGTGCCCGTGATGCCCAAAAGCATGTCAAATGTCCCTTGGGCCCATTGTTGCTCATGCTAACAAGAAAGCGTCTTGAATGAGACCGTTGGGAAGCCCTAGTTTTGGAGCATACCCAAAGCACCCAAGACATTCAACGTGGTCATTCCTGCAGAGCGCTTTGATACAGAAAACAGGTCCCTTTTCATGTTTGCGGCCTATGCACTATCATGGCCGGCCATGCTGCATGAACGCGCTCGTATTCTTGGCACCATTTATTACTTCTACACTGGTGCATCTTTCATGATGATGTGGACAGTGCATGGAATAGAAATATTTCATCTTTGCCTGCGTGGCCAAACCAGAACTATACAACTTGTGAAGAGAACCCAGATTGGTGTCAGGCAACAAACTGGTAGTTTCTGCTCACATGCTACACACATCCGGAATTCCATGGTACACATCCTGCAATGTATGGGGCCACGATGACAAAACACGTCCCATTGCACCGGCTGATGCGGCTTCTTCGATGCAAACCTGCCCCAGACAAGCAAAACTACAATCGACATTCAACGGTTGGGTGGCAACATTAAATCCATCCCACATCTGGCGTGCGATGGGACTATACTGAGCCCGTCTCAAAACGGATGTGGTGAAAGGCCACGTGTGTTCCTTTCCAGGGTTTCCACTGGTTGATGCTCGCATTCTGTTCTCCACATGATTTTCGAGAAGAAAAACAACAACAACGCGAGTGTTGATTCTCATTATTTTAGGAAAACCATTGGCTGTTAGGGACCTTCTCGTCTTCTTTGAAAGTTGAGCATGCTGAATATATCAGCTGTCCTTTCCAATCCTGAAACAAGGAATCCTCAGGCAGAGCAAAATACAGAACTTACATCACTCACTTCCGATCAAGCGGACTGGCCAAAAGAAGTCCCTTCACTTCCTCCGTTTACCACTAAAATGGGCCAACATCAAAAGAAATTGAAGTCCAAGAACTCAAAAAATCCCGCGACCTTCAGGGGGAGGGGGTGGGGGTTCCCCGATTTCAGTCTTCCCCATTAAAGGAAAATAGACATATAAAAGGAATTCCAGGGGTCACCCCCTCCTTTTCAAGGGGATGGGGATCTCAGGAAGTGAGATGTGCGTGCGATCCTTGGAGCGGAATCGCTCGACACTCCCAATAGTTGATTTCGGTTCAGCCACAAGGCTCAATGGTATCGTGTATATAAAATGGGGTTTCTCCAAATATGGATTTTTGTGGATGGTTTTAATTGGAAACCTAAAGGAAACCACCTACCTGGAGGGGTCCCCAATATGTGTTTTTGAGGCTCGGACATTACCTCCTGGCGAAGTGGGCTTTTCTTGGGCTGTCCGCAGACGAATTGGAGAACCACTACCAACTAAAAAGCTCAGAAGTTTTTTGGGGGGCATCCCAAAAGGCCCCCGTTACTCCCCCCCCACCGGCACTCATCGGCATCCGAGGTGCAGTCCCTCGCAGGGCTGCGGCACCGCGGCCCGGCAGATTTCTGGGGGGTCCTGAGATTCGGGGGACTTCAGGGGCCGGACTCCACTGAACCAACCCCTACAAATCCCTTTGTTTTTGCAGCCCGCTAACTAGAGAGCCAGAAATCCTGAAAAGCCTACGCGCTTGCCAACAGTGCTCATTGGCAGGACATTCTCCAGTCAAGCCTTTGTGTTTTGTGCCAATTTCGTGGACAGTTCCATGCTTGACCAACCTGGTCTACCGTGTCATGTTTGGCAAATTCGGAGGCATGCATTCTCCGCGTGTCAGTCATCCTGCAACCAAGGCTTTCTTCTCTTCCGTTCCCAAACAAACCTCCCCAGCTAATAGCAAAAACGGCCTTCTTCTCTGCCGAGTCCCCAATTTTGGGGCCATGAATTGCTCCAGTCCCCTTGGGTGTTTTCCAAGTCTGCCGGCGAGCTATCCGCCTGAAGCCACTTGACTTGG